CATAAATGGTGATCACATGACCATGGGATGCTGTGACCATCATAAACACCCACCAGTTGCAAAGTGCCTGAATCTCAATCATGAGACTGGGCCTCACACTTATGACTGAAATGGTCATAAGTGTGAGGCCCAGTCATAAAGTTACTTTTTTGGCTCCATTGTAACTTTGAACGGTTGCTAAACAGGACAGTTGTTAAGCAAGGACTATCTGTGCTACCTATTTGTGCTGATTTCTGCAGATCTGGTTAAAGATCCAAGAGTAGACTATGCTGTGGCTTTTTTCCATGGCCAGTTGGTAGCTCACATACATCAAAAGGAAAACAACAACAACAAAAAAGCCCATTTTTTCTCAGACCACGTGGATTTCATGGCAGATGCCACAGACCTCAAAAAAAGAAAAGAAAAAAAGGACTTTGTCATACTGTATCTGAAGTATTTGTGATACTTTCCTCAGAATAAAAATGAATAATTTAGAAAAAACGTTCCTCAGAATAAAAATGAATAATTTAGAAATGCTGTCATAAGGCTGGAATGGCACTTTCAGAGCATCTGCATCTACCTCTGTGAACTGCTGTCAAACTGACATATCTCAAGAAATAACATCATGACCCCACCACAGATTCTGTGCACTATAAAGAATCCCAGGGAACAAAGCTAGCTAGAGAGATGCTTAAAGGATACACTTTTATATGAAACAAGACAAGTAAGGGATAAACAACCGTTCCCTTTGGATTCTTATCACAGTGTCAGGTACATTCCTTCTATATTGAGCAAATGCTGTTCACTGAAGAAATGTGCTTGTTTAATTCATCAGTTCATAGGAACCCTTTCAGGTTGCTTAGAATACTTAATATATACTTTTGCTACTGTCACTTGATCACTAATTTGATAATTGAAGAACAAAGCAGGATGAAATAGTTTGCTTTTCCTGCAGGCATGCGTATCTTATATGCTTATGAATATGACCAAAGCATCTGCTACTTTCATCCAATCTGTTACAACTATACAATATCATGTGTGAAACTCTTGTGGGTTAAAATGCCATTAAAATAATGACCCAGGTTCTGTGCCAGTTCCTTCACTCATTCCATAATGAGATGGGTTAAGCTGCAGCTTCTCTTTATCTGCTTAAATTAAGCTCAATAAGGCTTATTTCTGAAAAGACAAGTGTACAATTGTGGTGTTACTGTTCACTTAATATCCTTCTCAAAACAATCTCCTTATGAATGGAATTAACAAGTATGTGGTTTTGTGGAATGAATCTTTCTAAGCTTATTTACTTGATAATGAATAGAAGGCAATATTCACAGAGGCTGTTACTGATGCTCAAGCAACTCTTAGGGCCTTTCCCCCTTGCACCTAACAAATGCATCAATAGCATTTCCTGGTAACATAACTTGTTTTTTCTGCAGCATCCACAAAATATTGCCTTTATCATGTCTGCAACTCATGAGTGAGACAGGCTTACATCATCCTTAGGCTATGTTAAAGCAGTATTCCTCTTCATTCTGATTCAAGAGCAACCTCAAGGTTTATAAAAACTGCTGGGTCTTGTCACCCATTGCATTGGAAGGAAATCATGTCACTGGCTGTGACTGGCAGCAGAGGCAACAGGGACAGGGTAGGGGTTGGCCATGGGGATGGTAAATGTTTCATTTTCACTTTTTTGGCAGTGGGGAAAAGAGACAGGACCTCTCCACACATGCACACCCATTTGCAGTAATATTTAACATATACAGTAGCCTTAGCTTAACAGACTAGAAACATTCAGCTCTAAGCAGCTAATTTCAAACAGAGCTTTTTATGGTGTCTTATCTGTTTCATTCTCTCCCTCTCTCCATCACAGCTTCTTTCTCTGCTTGCTTCTGTCCTAGGGAAGATAAAGGGAAGAGGGAAAAATGGCCTATTTCCTGGGCTTCTTGGATTCCAGCACTTCTGTCAAGCTGCCTTTGCTGACATCTGGTCTGTTCTCTGAAAACTTCTGTCCTTTCCACCAGCCAGTTCACTCAGCAGATCCATCTTTTGGGTCCTGTTTGCTCCTGCTGGGTCTCCAGTTGCAGATTCCTCCTCCTTGATGCACACAGTATTGCCAGTGATGCACAAAAACAGTGCCAGGAATTCCCAACAACCTTCTCCTCCATTAATGCTTCTGCCCTTTGATATGTTTACAGCCAGGAGGTGAGTGTTTTAATCAGGCATGAAGCTTCTTGGTGACTCTGTGTCACTGAGCCTGATTTTGGTCCACAAGGAAAAAAAACCCTTTAACCTTGAGACCATTGCATCATCCTAAGTTCATCAGGGCAACTCACCCTGCCACATGCTGACCCAAGGATCACTGGAGAGCACTTCAGCTCAGAAGTGGGGAACTTGAGGAAGAGTAGAAGGGTAATGTTGAATATGTGCAATAACAGTGTTAATAACATGGGGCAGTAGTATGGAGAAGGTATAAGATGTAATTTCCTGCATATTGGAAGTATCTTTTATATATCACATCCCAAAACTGGAGAGCATAGACTGATACCATGAAAATATGAATGTATCTGCTCAAAGGTGTAGAATTTGGGGCCCAATGATTCTGCCCAATGAGATTAACTCTTTTGGTCTTCTAATATGTCAGAACACCTTTGGAAAGATTTCTTGAGCTGGTGTGAAATCAGCATTGTTCAAATTATTTTAGCAAAGTGACACAAATAGATATCAGCTGGGATATGGCCTTCTTTATTTTGAAAAACAGCTATCTGCAAGTGTTTCTTCTGACATTTTGGTGATTCACTGCAAGACATACAGAAAGTAGAACTAGGGCAGGTTTATAGGTTGCCATATGACATTATCCTGTTGTTTTAGAAATATGTAGGACAACAATACTCTGAGGAAGTTTATTAATTTATGGACAGACTTCACTGCATTTTATGCTCATTTAGTAATAATGACTCTTCACAGAAAGCAAAATATTCTTAATCTCTATCAGAGGCGACAGAAATGAAAAACAATTAACAGGAGAGATGAAACTGCTGCTATTCTTGATGTTATTAAAATTTGTTAGGCTTGGAAACCACAGAATAATGATTTTTTTTTTTTTACTGCTCATCAATAAAAGCAATCCATGTGTGCTTCATAGAGTTAAAAAAAGACAATTAGATTTGAGGGCTTCCCTGGAGCATGAGAAAAGGCAAATAATTGGAGAAATCAAATGACAAAAACCAGTGGTTTTAGGCCACACTCTTAATCTCAAAATTAATGGCTATATAGAGGTTTTGGACTAGAAATCCCATCAGCCCAATATGGTCAATGATCAGGAGCAATGATATTTGTGAAGTAATTCTCTTGTGCTATAATGATTAGTGTGTGTGTGTGTATGTGTGTGTGTCGGGGGGAGAGAGAGAAGTCAATTTTCCCCATCTAGCACACTCCAGATGCAGTAGAACAGAGTTTTCACCCAGCATTGTTATGTTTTAAACCAAGAGAGAGAGAAAAACCTGTTCTCTTTACTTTTACCAGAATAGTAACATTTACTGGAATAGACATACTGGTATTCAATCTCACTGTATTAACATTTTGATTCTATATGTTTTGTGCCTCTTTAATATTCTGTTATCTCACAAGTCCTTTTGTTTAATTCTTTAGAAAAAGATCAGGTCGCTTTTGGTAGCTTGTATGTTATAAAATTAATATTGTCAAACCCAAGAAATATTTTCACTTTCTTGGCCACCTACTATTGAGTGATAGTAAATCTTGCAATATGGGCAGCAAACTAATAATGTAAAATAAATTCATTCAGGATTTTTTGTGGGAGGGGGTAAAAATGTCAAGACGGTGGATACAATCTTGAAGCATTGAAACCCTACCCCATTTTAATATATACGTACGGTATAAATGGGCAGGACTTTGTGTGACTGCATCTGACATCACTTTTTTATCCTCTCCCCGCTCCCCCTGCAAATATTGCATGCACATTCAGAAGGGGCGGAGTTTGCATCGTGACGCTCTATCCATCATATTGCTGATTTTAACTCCTCCCATGAATGCCCCTGAATACATAAATAAAAAATCTGGAATGTTGGGATGAAATCCCAGACTGGGCTGATAGGAAAGGAAGTAGCCTGATGTCAGCTGGAGGGACATGACATGGTTAGTCTCAAGTTTCTAGAGTCTGTGCAAGGCCCTAAAGTAGGAATACATGTTCTTTCATGGAATTCAGTTGAACTAGGAAACAACATGACTGATATGGGATTAGATCTTCCAGAGCTTTTGTTTAGAACCAGCTGGATAAAAAGATATTATTTGCCCAGGCATATGCTACTAGGAGTTGGTTTTAAAAACTCTTCCTCCCCTGACAGTTCTGTAATTTCAATCACCCCAGATTAGCTATTAGTTATGATGGGGTATGTTCTCATTTGTACTTATCTTTTTTCTTCCTATGCAGCTAATAGCAGCAGCTGGGCTCCTGTGGGTGAAGCCACAGGAGAGGAGCACTCTTAATCAGAAAATAATTACGGGGAAAGGGGGAACTCCTATCTGTCCTCCCCCCCTCATTGATGGCATCAAAATAAATACTACCCCCTCCAACTGATTGAAACAAAAACATCGGAAGAACTGATCGCTTGCCAAGTAGTTTGATTTTGGAACAGTCACAGTTTCAATCTCCATTCAATTCTGGAACATATCATCTCACCTTGCATCTCCACAAAGGGAGGATTAGGCTGCTAGTTCTCATGAATAATCAATTATATTTTGTTATATGCATAGCACAACAGTCTTCAGAAAGATGAATAGGGATACGCGTTTTTTTAAAAAAAAACAGAACAACTCCCTCCCAAAGCATTATTTTTTTAGATATGTCACCGTATAAAATTAATACGTAATGTGGAAATTTGGTGCTATAAGGCTAATAGGATTTTCAGAGGAAAATGATGAAATAATGATTATCTGTCTTCGATAAGAATTAACAATATTCCATTCATTCATTTATTCATTTAATTTATACCTCATCTTTCCTCTAGGACCTCAATGCAACAGACAGCACTGTTGCCTCAAATTTTTCCCCACAACATCCCTGTGAGGTAGACTGGGTTGAAGGAGAATGACTGGCCCAGACACCCAGCAAGCATCCTTTGTTGAAGATGGATTTGAACCTGATTCTCCCCGGTCTTAATCTAACATCTTCAACACATATCAGCATACAATATGATATGTGGATTTTAATGAAAAAGAAATATGCTTCAAATTGATCAAAACCAAATAAATGATAACAGAATGTGATGTAATGCAACAATCATGATAATGCCCAACATTTAATCACCACAATCTGACAGAATAATGTGGAGCTGTTATTTCTAGGAGAAATTATTAAATAAAAATGTTGTTGATGACATTGTTTTAAATTGATTGTTGAAGTCCTGGAGCAAATCGGTAAATTTGATCTCATCTCTGCCTAACTCATTACTCACATGATGTTTCTTTTGAGTGATTGTTGTTTTAGAGTTTTATAGGGCAAAACGTGTTCCTTTGTTACAAGAGCCGTTCCTACACTAATGAAGGAGAGATGCGGCTTTGTGTATGTGCTTCAAAATATTCTTCAGAGGAGAGCTGCAATGGCTGAGAGGCTTCTGTGAAGAAAGAAGATTATAAATACTTGAGTCCCCCTTTAAAAACTGCAATTCTCTGCTGGGAGAAAGAAAAGTGCCACTACTACCTTTGTTACAATACTTTGCTTTGCCTGGTCCTACTTTCAGTGGAAAGATGAGTATGGTGGTTTGGATGGGTGACTGGATGAGTTGCATTGCCATATTACTAGGTCCCTAGATGTATGAGAGGCTGTCAGTGTCTTAACCCAGTGTCTGGAGGCTGTGACAGTCTGGATGGGAAGACACAGGCTGATAACTGAACTCAAGCTGGAATTGCTTTTTGTTCACTGGGGTTCTCTACTGCCTCCAGTGTTGTCTCTTGATGGGGTGGCACTGTCTCTGAAAGAGCAGGCCTGCAACTTGGGGATATTCCTGAACTCGTGGCTACTGCTATATTAGCAGGTGCAGGGTGTGTCCCCTGCCCTTTGTCCAGGGACAGATGGTGTGCCAGTTGCAGCCCTCCCTTGAGTATTTGTCAGCCCTTTGACTAGAAAACCAGCGTTATGAATGCTAATACTATTTTTATTATGAACGGTAACAGAATCTTGAACGTCTGGATACGCTTCCCCTCTCCCTCCCTTTATCTTCGTGAGAACTAGGGTCAAGCCTAGGATGCTGTCTTAAATTACATTTCTGCCTCAGACTCAAATTTCTTTTATCTGACCATTGTCTTGGTTGCGGCTCTTCCTCCTGTTCCTCAAGGTTATTCCTACTTCCCATTACAGTATGAGGACCTTATTATGGGAACTCATGCTTTCATCACCACCAGTTTGGACCACTGCAATGCACTTTAGGTAGGTCTGCCTTTGGAGACAACCTAGAGACTTCAATTAGTCCACAACACAGTGGCCCAGATGCTGGTTGCCACAATCTGGCATAATCACATAACACCTTCACTCCAAACCATGGACTGGCTCCATATTTGCTTCTGAATACAATTCAGAGCACTGGTTTTAACCTTTAAAGCCCTACATGGCTTGGCCTTAAGGTATTTACAGGATTACCTTCTCCAACCGATCTCAACATGTCCAACACTTATGTCCCAGGACAACCTGTCAGAAGTCTCCAATTCCACAAAGGAAGTGGCGGATGGAGGCTTATAGGTTCTTATTTTTGGTTGGTACATCTGCACTTTGGAATAGCACCTACCCAGGAATTTGACACACCCCTATGCTGTCAAATTTCCAAATGTTATAAAAATGAGTTCATGAATCCTTTGAGATATGAGTTGAAACCATCAGTTTTAGTGCTATGGATATTGGATTTGTTTATTTTGCTATTTTGTTTGATTTGTTTTTACCATGGACTTTTTATTCATTGTATTGATGGAGGATGTAAATGACCAAGAATTCTGTTGATTGTGATGGGGATTAATTGAATAATAAATGGAATAAATAACACATTTATCTCTACCCCTAGCTCTCCTCTCTCCCTGAAGCAAACCCTTGCTTTATAAGACATTACTGCTTTCTTTGTTGCTGATAACTAATTACAGAGCTTTTGTGCTTACTAATTAGAATGCTAGAAGCGGGTGGGGGACAGTCAGGACCAGCAAGTAGTGACATCAGGTCTGACCAATAAACCTGCTGATCTGGACTGACTTATTATTTGGTTGAAACAAATATATTGTCCTGTTGTACGCTATTAAGAAGCAATCAGATTCACTGTACATTTTAAGTGAATAATGCAGGTGAAACCATTACCTTCTGGAAAATATTCCTCCATGCATGGTCTGAACAAAATATTGAAGTTGTTCATTCCAGCAAGGGCATGAGACATTTTTACAGGGCAACATTGATTAAACCCCAGTTAAAATTCACACTTCAAATCTGCAAATAAGATCCTCTGAATTAACTGACTAATGTTTTCCAGCCTTAAATGTTATAAAAATATGAGAAGCATTACCTAGGGCATTTGATTTATTAATTACAAAGGCTTAGCTGATACATTAACCTTGTTTGGCTTACCTAGTATTTATTGCTCTTGAATGTATGATCATTTTTAAATTATTATATGAGGCAAGTACTTTGATTTCCTCCCCCTTATTCTTTTCCCATTTTGCTGTTGTTATTGCTTGTGGAGGTACATACAGTATATAAATCATGTTTGTTTGGTTGCTGTCCATGTTTTATATACCAGTGATGGACATGGAAACCAAATTCTGTGGCAAGAAAAATGGTACAACAGTGGTGTCTTCTTTCTTCTTTCTGCGAGAGGGATAGTATTTATGCATACTGTTGTTGGGAGTGAGAGAAAGAGGGAAGGAACTGCTAGAAAGGCAAGAGGCCACAAGGATTACCTAAATCCTAAATTTAACAAAACAGTAATTAGAAATAACAAGGGTTTCCTGCGCTGACTAATTGGTTAAAATAGTACTGATGAGAAACTCTTATCCATATGCACTTCCTGGCTCTGTTTTCATTCCCCACATGTATGAAAACGTTTTAAATAAATCCACATATGTTCTCATCACTGACAGCCAGGAATGTCTGCAGGGTGTGGTCAAAAAATGTGGCACATGGTTTTTGTGGCCTGTCATGGCTGTTGTAGCTATATTGATATCATAGTTTCAGGAAAGTCCCTACAAATCAGAAGAATATACACTGGCTTAGGTTTTACTGTAGCACACGCTATCATCTGCCAACAATGTTCACTCTAGTTTATATTACACGAACTGGCCAATCTCTATGCAGAAGACTAAATGGACACAAATCTGACTTTAAAAGTGGTAATATCAAAAAACCAGTGAGGCAACACTGCAAGTCTCCAAGACACTCTGCCTCTGACCTCAAGATGACCTTTCTTAAGAAAAAGAATTGCAAAGGCCAAGTTCATCACAAAATAGCAGAGCTAGAAATCAATAGATTTAAAAAGGTTTCTCATGATTAATCAAATTGCATTTCCTTATATGGCATTTGCACCAGTCCCAAAGGGCTGTGTGGCTCTGAAGTTTTCCACTAGGCGGCTGAGTTACTTTACTTCTGGCTCAGCTGTGATTCAACAGGAAACATACTCCTCTCGGCATATGAGGTGGTAGGCTGGGATCCATAAGAGCTCAGCTTTAATCAGCTGTGATTCAACAGGAAACATACTCCTCTCGGCATATGAGGTGGTAGGCTGGGATCCATAAGAGCTCAGCTTTAAGGTACCACAAGAATCTTCATTATTTTGTCTATATAATTGTTTTACTCTGTTATATTAACATTTAAAATACTCTTATCTAGAAATTATTTATTTATTTAGTATTGCAATAATGTTGTTCTTCATGCAATGTGATCTATGCATTAAATCACTTCTGTTTTCCACAATTGTGTCTAATTCCAGAACATCAGTCCCATAGAAATAGGGTTATCAGATCTAGGCTGCATAAATTCAAATGCAAAGATGTATAGAAAACTCTAATACCCTTGGCTGCCAACGACTGGTCATTTGGATTTTTGCAGGCCAGATATGGTAACCCTACTAGTACACAATGCCTATCTTTCTCCTGTTCATTCTTGACATATCAACAGAACTTAGATAGTTCTGGGACTTGTTACAGACATAAGAGTATTGGGCTTCTCAAGGGTTCTCACAATTTCTATACAAGCAGGCAAGATTACAAGCGCACTGTGAAATTTCTCTGGGCTACAAAAATGAGCTTCATTTCCTCTCTCTGCCACCCCAAGGCCATCCAACTGTCTCTACTATCTGAACAAGGCAATTACAATGATAGATATAATTAGGAAAATTCCACTTCTAAGCTGCCAGTATTACCACACAGTTGAAAGAGCTTGATACATGCAAGTAAAGTGGTGGGTCTAACTAGCACTTCCAGAGCTTTTCCAGCTGAGCCAGCTTAAGGCCACAGAGGTGAATAAGCAGAAGACTTTTTAAATGAGTACTTGCCAATGTTTTTGTGTTCCCTTAGCAATGGATGGAATTTGTCATACCAACTCCAAATTGGCATGAGGAAGAAATCCAATCTTGGGGCCTCTCTGGCATTTACAGATGAAAGGAACACACTGAATGCTCTTTGATATTTATTTAGGCAAAAGCACAGTTTATGGGAAAGGACGTGAAGAGATCACAGATATTGAAAGTGCAAATAAGAACATTCTATCCTGCCTACTTGTCTTTGCTTCATGTGCTATTGTGCTGCTTATGCCTGTTTTGCTTCTAATGCTATATTCAGCATACAGCACGGCAGTGACTGGACCTAATGTTTAATTACTTGATTCCACCTTGCATTGTAAAGCTAGGCTGCAAGTAGCAGTATGGAAAGAGCAACTATTTTCAGAATAAGGGTAGGAGCTAACATCTGTGCTCAAGACAATATGCATATGCACACACACATGTACACCAAGAGTTTGCTCAAATGAAGGAAATGTAGAAATGCATAATTGGCAATTAAAATAAGTGACTCTTATGCTTGTTACGTTGTATTTAGCCCAGTCGTCTCCAGTCTAATACTTTCCATGTCAGCTGGTGATGATGATTATGGGAATTGTACTGATCGTGCCAGTTGAAGACAATGGGAGTTGTAGTCTAATACATTGAAAAGGCAGCCAGCTAGGGAAGCCTGCATTAATGAAAGTAAGAGTTTGTAGCTTTAGAACAGGGTCTGGGTGGCTGAGCCTAAGTACATCATTAGCATGGCATTCTTTAGAAAAGTTCACTTGGCTTCCTGGTTCCATCTTTGTCAGCTAGTGGCACAATAAGATAGGAACAAAGAAGACAGGATGGTGGAAAG